ACCTCCAGGATTCTAGTAATTTCTCCATTCACATAATTCTCTTGAGGCAAAGGAATGACTGAAAAGGTAAAACAAGCATAAACATATTTTTTTTTTCTTATAAATTGACAGACTAACCCCAAAGCTGTTACTCAATCCTGACTTTCACTCAAGGAGATCAGTCAAATCCTAAACTATTGGTCCAGATTCTCTACTTCAGGAGGACTAGATTCACTACATTTGCTTGTGGCTCCAAAGCTGTTTGAAGCAGCAGATCCACAAGCAAAGATCTGTCTCTCACCTATGTTTAGTGAGCCATGAGATTCCATGTTCCTTGTAAATGAGCAGAGCTAAATATAATTTTTTTTCAGAATGGGAACTACCTGACAGTAATCACAGCTCCCCAAATGGGGCTGCAACAGTCAAAGTGCTCAAAGCCCTTCACAGTGTTCACAAATCAAGTCACTGTTGTACAGTGAACAGTATTCCCAGGGTACAGATGTGGAAAGTGAAAGCACAGATATGTATTCCCCCAAAAGCAAATAGTAAGCTTAGAGCTGAGGTGGGAAATTACTGGGCCTCCAGTTTATAACCCTGTTCTTTTGCCTCCTGCCCCTTCTTTCAATATTGACAGAATTTGAGTCCATTCCCTGGCTTTTCATGTCTTGTAGTTTACAGGATTCTGCCCCTACTTCCACAGATGTACATAACTGTCTTTAGAAACAAAAACATCTTGAAATTTAAAACAGTTTTCAGTTGTGAAACAGCTGAATTGTTTCACCTCTGAAAAATCTAACTGCAACCTTAGAACTTAATTAAAGACACAAAAAATTCCATCCCAAATAGTTGTTTCTCTCTCTTAATTGTAACTCTCCAAATGCATAACATGACCCTCAAAGTACCCTCACCAGGCCAAAAATCTCATCTGATGCAAACTTGTCGATGCTGCCACAGTGATCTATGCTCACCAAGCATCAGATTCACCAAGTACATTTCCCAGGAGCAAGTGAAAGCTTTGAATACAGAATGATTTCAAAATACACTTCAGATAATATGACTCTGGGTAAGATGTGGACAGAAACTCATGAAATTAGGAAATACAGGACTCTGTGTGTACAGAAATTGTTGTTTCATAGGCTGTTTCAATGCAAGTGCATATGCACATCCAAGGACAAAATTTACTCACTATTTTCTACACAACAGCTACCATAAAAATGGTACCAACTAATAACCCTATTTATGTTTATTTCACAGTATTAATTAATGGTCTCACTAAACTAAGCCCAACCCAACATAAGGCTCTGTGCATACTGCACATGCCTTGATGCTCTGAATTTGTTTGTACAGCTGTGAAATTTTCCTATTAACTATCTGTCAGAAAAAGTAAAATACTGTCAGGAAAAGTAAAATACTGCCAGGAGAGCATGGAGATGAAATCCAAGCCAATGGGAGAGAATTACAAAATGGCATCCTGTGACATGAATTACTTTTATGGAGTAACTGCTGCTATAATAATAAGCCTATAGTTTCTAGATACCAGATCATTAGCAGCAGCAGCACAGGTAGCTCCAAAAACTTACTACCATACAAATCTTGAGTATTTATTAAGATTGATGTCAGTCATCTCCTTGTCATTTTATAAATGTACATGGTTAGATTTATTTGTGACTGTAAAAGATGTAATTTTTTCCTCTTTTTTGGAGATTTTTACTCTTAAAAATATATCATGTAGTCACACCAGCCTAATACTGCCCTCCCTGTTTAAAAATTGCTTATAATTTAAAACTCAAAAGTTGTCTGTCTACAGCAAAGGATCAGATGCAACATCAATGTCTTCCAAATGATCAGGTTTTGAGTCATGGTTTAGTTGCTTAACAATGAAGAAAATTGTCTTCTGGGACTTGCAAAAGAACCTAGCACCTACCATCATCTGAAATGAACAACTGTTAAATGCTTCATTTTTGGAAACTGAAATTCTTTTCATATCTTATTACTGAATGACTAACAAATCAAACAGCATAAGGTTAAGGAGTTAAAGACAAGGAATACACATTCAGATGATCTAGTGTGATATCCAGAGGTGCTTATTCTGGCATTAAGCTCAGTGGATAAATGCATAAATAACACCAGAGGCTGCCAAACTCCAATGCTCTAGATCACACACTACTCCCCTGGATAACAGATTCCAAAGCAGAGTATGATCCAGGTGGTATTTTTAGATGCTTAGAGGCTTTATACAGAAACAAAAAGTACAAATTTAATTTAAAATAATTTCTTAGAAGTTTGACTGTTGCGAAAGGATAATTTGCCTTTTTCTGCCTGCACAACTTGGTATTCAGCCCCAAGAAGTGATAACACACAGAACATGAGTGACTCTTACACTTCTCAACTTCCAATGTTCATCTATAGGGCCTTCCTCATCTGGATGAGGTTTCTTAGTATTCAACCTGCCAAGAGATCTCTCTTCCATTACCTTATTCAGTGTTTACTTGAACACAGGTGAATTTTTACATTCCTTGACAATTTTCCAACTGATTTGTAAACAAGGCCCCTCTTTTGCTTGTTTGGCTTCATTCAACATCCCATAGATTCCATATAGAAACTGAACTTCTACTATGCCATTCCTGATTTTGCAGGTTCCATCATATGCTCCTCTTTCCACACTCAAGAATCCTAACCCACTCAGAAAAAGTGCCTCCTTTATCTCCTTCACACATAAAAAGTCACAACTTCATTGCCTTCCTCAGACTCTTAAGGAAGGAGTCAGTGCATGCAATATCATCTTTTAATATCTTCTTACATCCACTGCTGTAGCTGCTAAACTGGCCAGAGAGACCCAAAGAGCTGCACAAATGAATCTGTGATCAGTAGTATGTATCAAGCAGAACTCCCTCGAAGAGAAAACTAAACCCAAAATATTTTATGGAGCTTTTCCATCTAGGAAGAAGTCTGCATACAAGGAAAAACTTTGCTTATGAAACAGACCAAATCTTTAAGTTTGTGGAAGGCCTTAGGAAGATTATACAGGCTCCCCCCATTAATTACAGCCTTATCCAGTCTTCCTCACTCAGCTGCAACCTGGTGCTGCTTACAAGCTGATTCTCCTGGCAGCCACTCATTTTATATCAGTCTGCTTCTATTCAAAAAAAATTTAGAGTTACATATATGGATATAAAAGTGTGTTATCTATTTTGATAGAGGCTGAACTCAGGAGGAATCAGCAGCTTCTTCCAGCTGCCAGTGAACTCAGCAGGGCACCTAGGTGAAAGACCATGTTTCTGTTTTCCTGTGCACAGAGAAATGCTCAAATGGCTTCAAAATTCCAGATGTATTATTAACAGAGTGCATAATAATGATTCAGGGGAGGATTCTGGAATTCTTACTATGCTAAACTCCATACAGTATAATCTTCTTATAAATTTCCTTGGCACCAAAAGACAAATTTTTCAATGTGTAGGTTAGACCTATTGCCTAAGGCTGCTACACAGGGAATTAAAATCTGAAAGGATGAATAGCTCCCTAATAGTCTACAATGACACAAATCTATTACTCTGCCATTTCTTTGAATTCTCACTACACTAAGTATAAAACATGAGGAAATAGCAGTGGAGCAGGTTTTTTCCCCTTTAATTGCATTGTCAGTTACACCAGCCTTGACAAAGAAAGGACAAACAAAACCTGAGTAATGACAACATATAGGACTGCAAATGTCTAATAGGCTTCTAATGTAACTTAGGTTCAAAAAACAAAACAGGTAACTCTTCTTTCTGCCTAGCTAGTTCCTAGGCTCAATCAAAAAGACTGCTCTAAGTGTTTTCTCAACTTGGAAGCTACCACAACATTTAGATAAAGACAAGCTGGACCATATTATAAAGAGGAACTCAGGAGTCACCAGTACTTCTACTAACCAAGTCTTGATTATAATTTGAAATAGGAAATATGAGTTCCAGCTGTATTTTCCTCCTTTGTGGAGGTAATCTTCCTTTCTTCTCTACTTCAGCTCTTATCTTTCTTCTCAGCTATCTCTTCCTTTTACTTTACAAAGAATGAATCAAATAAAGCCTGCCTTAGTGGAGACAATTTCTTCTGCAACAACAATGATGAACTTGGAACCAAGAAAAACAACTTGCACAGACTGTCAGTTATCAGAATGGCTGACAAAATTTATGCTCTGCCCTAATTTCTGCTGCAGAGTAGTTATGAAAACATCAAGAATAGAATATGCATGGGATGATTTCTGTTCCTGGGCTCTTTTTTACCTGCTCTGTATTTGCCTGTTTTAGCTTTCAAGGAAGATGTATCTGAACTTAACAATAAAAATAAAAACAGTTTCACAGTAAAGGCTTTAACTGTTAACTGTTTCATTCAACTTCTCCCAGAAAATTTCTGCACTCTTGAATTTCTCCCAGAAAGATTGTCCTCTGAAAATAATTTAACTTAAAGGGAGGTTGCATTCAAGCAAGATCTTAAACTTCTCCTTCCAAACTCTTTCTTATCTTCTAAGCTTCACATTTTCCACATCACTCCTGCAACTCTTTGCTGATCCCCTTCCAGTACACCAACAGGACCTTTAAACTCAAAGCACCAAAACTAACTATAGAATTTTATTACTGGCCTCCCTAGAGCTGTTTTCAGAGAAAAGGAACTTCCCACAGCTACTCAATATTCCCCTTGCAAATAAATACAAGGATCACATTTTCTCCATTAGCTACCACATCCCACTGCTAGATCTTGTTCTGTCTTACCCTCCACATGCTACAAGTGATTTTTTTGAGCATCTGCTTCATGTAGTTACTTTAATAATTACCAAATAAATATCATTTCCCCAATTTTATTTTGCTCCACGGAGCAATTACCTCCCTGCCCATTTTGTCTCCACAAATGAAATCTCTTAACTGCACAATATTCAGTACCAAAATGGTCAGATACCTCATACATTACATGCCAGAACATTGACCAACACACTTACTTTGCCAGGCTTGTTTGCATTATTACATGCCAGAACATTGACCAACACTTACTTTGCCAGGCTTGTTTGCATCAAAGCTGTTTTCTTTAAATTTCTCCTGCAGGGTCTCAGCTAACCGGCAAAGCAACGCACCGTTATCCAATTTCTCCATAAAGGTTTCTGCTGTTATTTCTCTACCTGGACAGCAAACAGAAAGTTAACATGGCAGAAAGCATAGAATAGTACAGACTGCTCCTGTGGACCAAGAGAAGTCAATAGAAATCTTGACAGTAATTTGAAATATGCTTTAACTGAGCAACTTGCATTACTTGGAATATTTAGTGAATAACATCAGTACTACTTTACCTGTAGATATTATGAAAAAATAACATGATTTCTTTGGGAAGGCATGTGCTGCTTGAAAAATAATTCTAGCATATCAGACTCCACATATTTCATTTTGCTTATGAAAATCCTGTGCTTTCAACATGATGTTTTAAAAGAGAGTACAGCAGGCAAATGGTGCACACCAGTGTGAATGTGTAGCTGTGGTGTAAGAGCTGCTAACAGGTTGTTTTGTAACAGAAGTAGAAAACCACATCAAGAGGGAAAGGACTACATTTTTTTAGAAGTCTTGATCCTTCAAGAAATATGCAAGATATTACAGTGTCTGCAATGCTACTGTGAAAGTGCTTTTTCAGAAGTAAAGTTAGGTACATAACAAACAAACTGAAGAGAGAGTGAAGCTTCATGTTATGTATCTACTTGTCATGCAGATTAAAATTTTCAAAGAAGAAAGCCAAAATAATGATTTCAAAATATTTAAACTGTTATATCATTCTATATGACATTGTACTTCAGTTGCCACCAGCTTCCCTCTCTGCTATGGCAGACCAAAGCCTTACAATAAATGTAATTACATCCCCCTGGAAGAGGATCCCTAGTCTCATGACAAGATGTGCAGGTTGACCAGGCAGGACAGACAAGATGATCAGGGAATCATTTATCATCCTAGACTGAACTCCCAGGATCTTAATGTCTTTCTAGGTAAAAATACACCTATTTCTTATTGAGGAGTTTTAAATTTCACATTTCTCCTAAAAAATTTGTCTTCTCTTTGGACACTTTTTGGATCAGCAGCTCTATTTCTCAGCACTTTTAACTTCTAGTAATAACAAGAGAACATCAAGGACTAATTCTTGCTCTTCCTACTAAGACAGGATTTATTCCCTCCTCCCTACATTTACATATGTCATTTAGGAACAGCAATAAAACTCTAAACTCATTTTTTATAGGCTGTTACACAGCATACATTAGTAACAATAGTCTACTCTGTCAAAAAACAACCCCAACAAAAAAAACCCAATACTGAAGTGAGAGTGGTTCCTCATCCCACCTGGATCCACTCCTGCTTCCATGAGATGTCTGGAAACTGAAAATATGAATCTGTTTAGAACAGGTTCACTACATTTCTCTGTCAAAACACCCTAGGAAAATTAGAAAAGTGAAGCAAAGTTTTTCTGTATCTTTTCACTCAGAAGAGAGGGGAAAACCAACATTCAAAAGTAACAAAAATGAAGTAGATAAGAAAAAATATTGCACATCTTGCTGGTACGTTGTAATCTGACAGTCCATGTCACAACACTGAAGATAGTAGCATTATAAAGCAATATGATTGAAAATATGCTATAGGAAAGCTGATTTTTCTAGGCCTTTGCCTGAAAACCTTTAGATACTTTAGTATCTTTTGGGCAAAAACAAATGTAAGTCTTTTCAGTTCAGCCAGTTAAAAAAAAGCAGCTAATAAAGTCAGATAAAACCAAGATAAATATCTTTACAACAAATCATCTTCAGATACAGAAGACTTCTATTTTTCATTGAAATTAACTTGCTTATTCTAACACATTTCTACTCCAGAAATATCTGTTTAACATGAAGATTTTCCCTTTTTTTTATTCCCCCTTAATTCTTCTGCCATATAGGCCATTTCATAGCTCCTGTATACCTAAATGACTTCTCCAGGCAGAAGAGCAGCAGTTACACTCCAGACATTCAGAGTTAGCTTATGCCCAACTGATAATATTTCAGCAGTGTCTCCAGCTCAGATGAAACCAGGACTGAAACTCTAATATCCCAGTGATAAAAAAATTGAACATCTCAGCATGTCAGAAGCCTTTGCCACCATTCTAGCCTATATATTTTCCTATTTGCCCCATCAGCATTTTTGGCAAGAGTTATAAAGCCATTTGAAAGCTAAATTTGAAAAATTACTATGTTACAGGAACTGCTTTCTTTTTAAGAGCATTACATTTTATAATAGACTCCTTTCTTCTATAAACATTCATTTCAAATATTTTTAACTTACTCAACATCTTTATTTTAGTTTACAAAGCATAATTTTTTCACACAGGTACAAAAGTTAATCACATTAAACATATCTATTCTGGCCTATGATTTATAGATTTATTCTTTCATAATAATAAAAAGTTATAAAACCCATAAAAGCTATTTAGAGGTATTTTCTCCTTACACAGACATGGAAAAATTCTTCTATCTTCTTCTGCTATTTAACAATGCATTTATATTATTTTAAGTGCAGAATTGCATTAGCAGTTTGGTCACTGCATATTGTACACTAGGCTGGATTATTTGAGTTCTATTCCCCTTTATGAAATCTGAAAGAATGAGTTTTGCATTGAACATCTGTATCCAATGAAAAGTATATTAGGTGTCAGCTTTCAATTCACTGTATTTTATGGCTCCAAAAGGTGGCATTTCTTTGCTAAAACAGACACTCTGACATATTTAACAGTTGAAATGTATTGATTCAAATGAGAGTAATGTTCATAGCCTGAGGAATAAAATGACTCGGTATATTTGTATGGAAAAAACATTAAACTCCATTAAAAATGTATAACTCCCCCTATAATTACAAGAAAGCAGTTGCAATGTTTTTATAGAATGGTAATAACATTAAGTCTAATAAAAAAAAAACCCAACACTGAAAATATGAGGAAAAAAACCAGGACTGTGCAGCCCCAACACTGAAAGTATGAGGAAAAAAACCAGGACTGTGCAGGCTTTCTGGAACCTCACAAGCATTGCTTACCCTCTCTTTTACCACAACCACCACATGCCCCTTGAAAAGACAAACTGTGACACCTGAACACCTACACGTGGAAACTGTGAGCAGCTATCAGTGAGGCCACCCAGTCCTGGGGGACTCAAGGCAATGAATGGAAGAAAAACTGAAAAAAGCCCATGTCCTGGGTGTGTGCCCAAGAGGTCGAAGATGAAACATTCTCCACAGACCATCTCAGACAACCAGAGGTTTCACAAGACGGTGGAGAGACTGTAAATCTCAAAGGACTAAAATTTAGTTGGTTCCTCTATTATTGCACTGAGTTCTTTCACACTTGGTTAAATAACTTCAGTGTAAGGCTGACTGCAGCTTCACAACTAGCTGATGGGCTATTGTAATTGTGCATTTCATTAGTAACACCAAACAAGTAGCTTAACAACAGAAATATTTCACTCAGGTGAATCTCTGAAACACATCTGCAATCCTGAGGCACTGGTGAGATAACTCCTCCAGACCCCCTTGAGTCATGTGGCATTTAAACCTGTGATAAGAAAACGTGATAAAAATATAGGAAACAAAGGCCAATGATTTTATGCACAAACCAAACTGGTTCTCCTCTGACAAGGCTACTCTGTTCCCTACAATAGTTGACAGCAAAAGAAACAGTTTTGAAAGCATTGAGACATTACCACTTGAAATGGGACATATAAACAATCCCTAAATCATATTGATACTAAAGAAAAATATAAAGTCACTCAACTAAGAAACTGTATCATTGCCAGAAGAACCACTGGAACTATCAGACATTTAAAACCATTTCCCTCTGGCTTGATGTGAACAAACTGATACTGAAAATAAATGTACTGTTACAGAACCCTCTTAGATAGCAAAATGAGCAAGAAAAGCTGAAATATTTAATTCAGAATCAAAGATGGTTTTCTTGCAGAAGACTCCACTTTTCAACCCTCAAATGTTACACTTGCTTCAACATACCTTCAAGTACCAAGCCTGGTCTTCAACCCAGTGCCTCTCCTAACATCTTCACCTCTTTGTTCCTTTTCTCCAAGCCTCCTTCACTTTTGCACACAAGCAAATTTTAAATGCCCTAAACAACATTCAGTGTTCACACATCCAATTCCTCATCATCTTGCATTCTCCAGCCCCTTCTCAAGCACAGACAGCTCCGTTAAGAAGAGGCCTCAGCACCGAAACCCTGAAGTCCAGACACGTGTCCAAGGCATTGTCCACATGCTGAAATTAAAAAGAGGCCGCAGCACCGAAACCCTGAAGTCCAGATGTGTCCAAGGCATTGTCCACATGCTGAATCAAGTTTGATGGAATATAAGACAATATAACCCTCTGCAGCTTGTAAATGAACTCTAGGAATGGGGAAAAAAATCAGAGCTCCACACAAGAGCCAAAGGGGAAACAGAAACCATCTCTCTGCATCTGTCCTAAAGCACAGGCTGGTGGTGTCCCACTCCTCCTCACGTCAGCCCTTTCCCTTCTGCTGACACACAAGAGAGAACAAGACAGTACTGGGGAGTACAGCAGACTAGCCAACCTTCCAAATGGTCATTTTGCCTCTGCTAGAAGATTACCATGGCCCAAATGTGCTAATTCCCATGTGCAGCTTGCTCAAGGTGGCACAGAACTTTTCAGTATCCACAAGAGCATTCTACTAAAGTAACTATGTACACGATCTACCAAATTTGGAGTTTGTCAGCATTGAAGGCATTTCTGAGTGCTTCATTGGCTCTATACATAACAAAAACAAGGCCAAGAGATGATCATGACTTGCAAGACAGTTAGGTTAACTCATCTCCTTAACTTTGTCACTGCCACTCTCAACTGAGATACCAAATCTCACCAGAGGGAAGCAAGAATAAGAGACACATAGCTCCAACCTTCCTCTCCAACACAGAAACCACAGCTCCCACCACGCTGACACGTCCCTCTTAGAAAATGCTATAATGTACAATACTGTATGAGTTAATCCTAACTGACACATTGATTTCATCTGCACTGTCCTTTTTCCAACCTCCAGAATACAGACAGCTAAAATCTATTCAGCAATGGAGCTGTAATGACAAACTGTCCTCTCAGAAGTTCTGAGTTTCTCTGACGTGGTTCCTAAAATAATTAGAAAAAATGCATACAAAAGTACTAGTGATTACAGAAAAAACCCAAACAACCACCACAATATCCATGCTAAATCAGAATAAAACATCCAAAGTCTCAGGGTTAAAATTCTTAGTGTTATTTCCAGCTGCAGCATGTATCTCCATTTCCTCATTTACCAATTGGGTAAGGACAAATTCTAGCTAAGTCTAATTTCTATCTAATATCAAAACTCTTCAATCATATTATAAAGTGCAATATCTTGATAATGTTTTCCAGTTTGTAATTTCAAAGCCATGTGAAGTTTTGCTGATGCAAATCTATCACCATTCCAACTTCCAGTAACACTATGTAGGACATAATTGCCTCTCCACATAAATTTCCTAAAACACCATCAGTTGATCGAACTACCTCAAAGAGGTTCAGCCCTATTCTTACCTAAAATACTCTTTAAAAATTTTTTTTTAAATCTAAATTTGTTTGAAAAGTTTGTGTCCTTGAGTCATAGTACAAATGAATGACTAAAATACAGATTAAACGAAACATGACCCAAAATGGTAACAATGAACTGAAATGCAGATTCATTTTCTTTATAAACTGAGAAGTCCTATGGCATTAAAACTGGCACAAAGACACAATGAGGCCACATAAGTTGTAGAACAGAGCAAGTTAGGGTGTGGATACACAATATTATGTGTTTTGTGTTACCTGCACATCCACAAATGTGAAAATCTACTGACCATTAGTGCAAAGTACATTAATTCTCCCATGTAGGAAAAAAACCCCACAACAAAACAAACATAAAAAGTCTTGCATATTCTTCTATCTTTTTGGATGCTGATAAATGAGAGAGCACAAAGAGGTTTTTACAACAAGGTAACAGCAATCTATAAATTCGTATCTATTTTACCATACAGCAACATGTTCACACATTCCTCCTCTGTCTGAACCAAATTATGCACTAATTAAAACAACTTTGAATTCTGAGTTAATATACTTTTACAAATAATAATTATTTTCATTCACTCACACTTAATTTATTTTGAATGTGAATTTCAGCTTAATTGAATTATTAATTTGAATAACACTGTCTACACAGGAATTCAAAGCAGTTCAACAAATCACTGTAATTTCAGTTCTTCAGCACAAACTCAGAGAAGAAGAGCTTGGTGTGAGAAGGTGTGGGGGTATGCATTAAGCAAATGAACTGTATATGCTGCTTAATTAAAAGAAGGTTGTCCAGTGCAGAATTTGGTGTCCATATGAAAAATCAGATTTTTAATTATAGTTGGCATTTCAGAACCTCCTGCTGGTTGCTACTTTCTTGCTCAAAAAGTGACCTCATTCCTAAACTTATCACTGTGAGAACTCTGTTATGAACTGCAAACAAGCTTCTATTTGTGTTAGAGTGACTCACTAAAACTTCATTGTTTAAAACGTTTAAACAATATATTGAATCCTTAATGGAATGTGCTGCTGCTGATTCAAAGAGTTTGGATTGCTGTCTTGTGGTAATTGTAATGAAAAGTCAGGATTTCTGGATTTTGTTCTGGTATTGCCTGGACAATTTTATATTCAAAACTCACTGATTTAAATGGAAGAACCACACAAATATGTCCCATAAAACACATGTCACTTTGGCAGTTGTGGATTTGCAACTGTTCCAACTCTAAAATGGGTTAAGTCTACCTGTAAAATATTTTGGTATTGCCTTCTACTGATATGGGTTGGACTTACTGACCACATCTCTCATAACATAAGTGATATTTCCCTTTCTCTTAAAAAAGGGAAAACACAGCAATGTAGAACATGCAGATGAAAGACACTGGATATACTTTATTATTGTGTGATATGGCTGAGATTGTTTAACTACAGCACCTGCCATCACACTGCCCATGACTCACCAGAACAGACTTCCAGGAAAAAAAAATAAAAATAAACAAATCCTCCAAACCCACACACACCACATTTAAAAGAGCTCATCCAAACTTTCCCCCAAAATAACATCAACGGAAGTTTCATGTAAACAATCACCTTCTCTGAAATATTTTCTTCTCTTTGTTTAATGAGAGGAACTGCTGGCATGTTTCCTTCGATGAGGTATTGTGTAAATCATACACTTTTTTTGGCAGAATCCTCTGGACTTACAGAGATCACTCAAAACCCATTTTTCCCTTGAGTGTTCTCAACAAACAACATACTATTTCCTGGCTCATAGTTTTTAAATTCCACCTTCTTGAATGAGTTGTGTATCTCCAAGAATTGTCTCTGTTCTTCCTGCCAGGGACATAATCTCATTTGTTCTCCTTCACGTGATTTCTTTCTTAAATTTTAGGTTGCATCCTCTTTCCTCAACAACATGCTTTGGCTTCACACACCAAGGTGTACAGCTGCAACCAGAAAATCCCCAGGTCCCAGCTGTACTAGGTCAGACTCCTCTATGCATGAGCTTCCACAAGTCTTCACATGCATTGCCTTGGCAACAATTACCAGTTTCTAGACTGCTTGGTCAGCAAAGAACTATTTAATGGTTCTTTCTGGTCAAGACAGTTGTACACCTGTACTCTTTAGGAGGCCTAATAAAAATGGAAGATATAGGTGATGGTAGCAATTAGCACTGTTCAGCTTAATGGTATTAATACAGAAAACACATGCCAAAAAATATTCAAAGGAAATTTGAAAAAAACCCAACCCAACATGAAATGTATAAGATCCAATTATGCTACTCACACAAACACTGTAGAGGCAAATTACTCACTAGCTTTTCTGACCTTGCTAACAGTTGCACTGTGTGGAGGTAGCTACCTAATCATCACTCCCTTTATTTTTGAAATACAAAGAAATCTGAAGGACTGAATTTCCCAGCTAACAGTGGAAAGTGTTCTCAGTATCTGCATTCCATCTTGTTGTACCTTACCCAGTAGGTTTGTGAGCCACAGAGCCAAATCCTCTTTCATTGGCAGCAAGTTGGCCTCGTGTCTACTTGCAAGCCACTGACTGTATTGATGCATGTCGGACAGGCCAGGCCCACGTGCCTTCGGGCTCAGGGCAGTGCACATTGCTTAGCCACTTGCTGTACCTGTTTCATTACAGAAAAAGAAAAAAAAAAAAGAAAAATGTACTTCGTTATACCAAATAAAATTTCACAAGTTTGGCTTTTAGAATTGTAGAAGATAATCCCATCCAGAAGGTAGTCCCCATCCCTAGAAGTGTTCAAGGCCAGGTGGGATGGGGCTTTGAGTAACACAGTCTAGTGGAAGGTGTTCCTGCCCATGGCAGGGCAGGGTGGGGTGTGGAACTAGAGGATCTTTAAGGCACCTTCCAACTCAAACCATTCTATGGTAACAACAGTAACTACAACTCCAAGAAATTCAATGTCTGACAAAGGATGTGGATCTAACTGATGGTTGCAAACATCAATGACTGAAGCTTCGTTTTGTTAACGGATTTATTTTTTGCAAGTGTACAGATTGTACACTTTTGCAAATTGTACAGATAGATGTCAACTTCATTTGCACTCATCAAGCTACACATGTTGCCAACACATAAGCAAATATTCCACGAGGAATGATTAAAATCAGATCAAAGTAAGCATTTAACACAAAGCTAACAACCCACTGTGGTGCCTGATCCAATACCCACTGAAATTAAATGGAGAGCTTCAGAGATTTTTGGATCAGGCCCAAGAAAAACATGGGAATGACCAAATTACACTACTGCAGCAAACTTACTAACAACTAATAAATGCTGTAACCAAATGGAAGCAGTTATCTACAGCTTCAGAGTAAGTAAAGAAAAAACCTACACCAAACATACTGACTGAATAGCATTCTGTGCTCAGAAAGCAGCATGACAGCTAGTGCTGGTCACTCACACTTTCCACTTCCCAAATACTCCTCTGCTCCAGTGACAACTTGCTGAAACTTTAGTTTATGTTAAGACAACAAATATTTATCACAGGACATATCAAGTATCGTGAGTTGCAGCAGCCAGAAATGTTAGAACCACTAGACCTGTATCTCTGCTCCTGAAGAACTAACTCACCCTTCATTATGGTATGTCCATTATACCATCCATTGTGGCCTGGAATAGCAAGAAAACGGAAAACTTTGTCCAAAAAAAGGAGAATATTTACTAAATGCAAAAAACAATTGCCTTTCCTTACAATTGTGCTCTAACTGACTTCCAAATCTATGTAATGCTATTACATGTGATGCTATATGGGATATTTTAGTACTTGTATTACAATACTCCAGTATTTTTTAACCATACTCTGAGTAACCTACCATGTTCACAGAAATATCTACTTAAGCTCTTGTTGACAGTATCACATCCCAAATCCTGAAGTTTAACTTGCCCTTGAGATAGACACAGTTTTCACTACAAATAGACTTCTTACTGAAATTAGACTTTTTCTAGCTGGGAAGAAGGGAAAATAGACATAAAAAGTTTTTTTTCTCTTGTATAAACACACACATTTCTCAATTATGAATAGATTTAAAATTTTTCTAACAAAAAATAAATTCCTCACGTATCAAAGTTCCTTTGAAAGCAGAGGAGCTTGAGCAGACTTAAAGATGTAATTTAAGCACAGCTCTGAAAACTGACTTTGTAAAAACGTCAGCTTAGATTTATGGTTTCCTGGTTAATTAAATTCAAATCATACCTGGTCGTTTGGGGCAGGGTGCAAGGGAGGGGAGGGAGAAGAATTGAGCTGTTTGCTCTGCAAAAATCAATCTGGAATGACACGCTCAAAACAGATTGATTCAGACTAGAAGCTACTAACTGATAAGGAATTTCAATGACAGGATATTTAAGGTTGCTCTAAGCCACTCAGAACCACATAAATTAGTCACTCAAATCATTTTGGGTGGAAACAGAGGCAAGATAGACAACTGGCACCACATTGTCTTCAAAGAGTCTATGGAAAAATCAAGTATAAATATACACATTTTCCAGAAAAAGAGCCTTCAAATAATTTTTGTCTGATTTCTGGAGTCTATAAACACCTTTGATAGTGAGACCCAGAGCTGAAACTAGTTAGTTCTCCTGAATTATCTCTGAAATTATATCAGTGAGGGCTGTGGAATGAGAAAGTAAAGAGCCTAAAGAATCACAGATGAACCACATACAATCCAACCTTACCTCTGTGTAAGTTTTTGTTAATTTCATTTCTGAAATAAATGAATTTTCCTTTTCCCCCCTACTTCTCTGAAAACCTGCCCTACACTTCAGAAAAACAGATCCTGTTTAGAATCAAAGCCGCAAAATTCCTACCTTGGATTTTTAAAAGTTAGAATCAAAACTGCAAAATTCCTACCTTGGATTTTTAAAATTAATTTTAAAAAATTAAAAAATTAAATAAATCAGCTGTCAAGGAGCAGAGCACAATTGGTCACTTGTATCTCCTGTCACAAACTCTACAAGTGATATTGGAGGTCAATTATCAAACTGCAAGCCTCAAACTATCAATTATTCTTCATGCAAGCACTGATCACTACTGAACTTGTAAATTTAACTAAAGCCTCCACAATACTTCGGTACTGAAGTACCTGAGTTTCATTAAAATGTTCATCTACTTCATCAACTGCACTACTCCATACACAGACTATCAGAACTCATCACATACTAGCTGGGATCTGTGAAGAAGCTGAAATGAGTTAGTTATGTGAAGGTAACAGCAACTGAGTCCTGAGCTCCTTCAATCCCTTTGCAGATTCTACCTGTGGTCAAGACTCTCAATTCACCACTCAGATACCTTCAACTCTCCTCCTTCAAATGTCTCAACGTATTTATTTTCTGGCAAACTGCAGAAAAGTTTATTGACAATTATCACTGAGGAATTTGCTCAGAGAGATGGAGTAACTTGCCTCAGAGGTAGGCAGCAGCTTTTAGGGATACATCACCACAGCTGAGGCAAACCTCTGGCTCCAATAACTATTTCATCCTTTTCTTTTGGCAGACGTAAAGTATGAACAAAGTAGCCAAAAAATATTGGGTTTCCTAATCTCACTAATTTCCAACAGCAACATCAAATCATCATATATACAGCTGTTTAAAACTAGCCAACACAAACATGTCAAATATTTTATAGAATGTTACACTTCTCTATAAACTCTTGAGGATGACGTGATATGCAGAAGCATTTTCAAAACTTACCTCTAAATGCTTTAAAGCAACTTCTTCTCCCTACTATTCGGAATGCAGACAAGGAACAGTCTTGAACTACTTTCCATTCTGTTTTGTTACAGGTCATATTTATGCAGCACAGCCTTTCTTTCCACCTCTCTCAAAAAGAGGATGACATCTCAAATTCTTAGACTTATTGTCTAGATTAAGAATTCAGTGTGGGATAGTTTACAGGACACCCAGTGACATGTATCAGGTTCAACACACTAAAAAGTCCTATTTCCCTCTGCTTGCTCCTACCAAACAGTGAAGTTTTTATTTTGCTTCACAGTAGTGCATTTAGTTGTCTGTGTATTGTAGCTCAGTGCTTGTATTTTGCCAGCAGTGTAACTTACACTATCTGCTGATTGTTGTCAGTGATCACCAGGTGAAAGCAGTGAGAATCAACCAAGTGACCTTCTGTAATTCTACTGGCTTTTGTTGGGCTTAACTGGTAGAACAAAAGGAATCAAGAATGATACACTCTACTCAAAACACACAGGAGGCAAAGACTGTTTAATCCAGAAACAAAAACTGGATGCACAATGAAGCACTCACAGTGGCAGATCACAGGATTCAAGTCCTTTTCCTATTCCAACCACCTTCCTTACCTGTAAAATTGTGGCAATAATTTTCTTCAACCAAGTACAATCAGGAGGAAAAAAGTATTTCACATAGGAAAAATTTATATCTAGAAATGTGCATGTATGCATAGATGCACAGAAAACAGAACAAACATAATCAGGAGGAAAAAAGTATTCCACATAGGAAAAATTTATATCTAGAAATGTGCATGTATGCATAGATGCACAGAAAACAGACATGCTCCACCCTGTTAGCTAATCATATAAAGCAGTAAGTCTTTACTCTAAATTACCCACTGAGTTCCAGCACACATACCTAACAGCTTTGACTGAGAAGCTGGTGGCTATGCAGTGCTCTCTGCATCACACGAGTGTCATTGTCACTTCACCCTAGCTCCCAATTACAGCTGTGCATTCGTTCTCAAACAAAAGGAGGACTGAACCATTCCTTTTAACTTGCTCCTACATACGATCCTTCCAGGTCAGGGAGGAAGAAGTCTTGCATTCACTTGCTCTTTATGACCTTAAAAATTAAGTATCCAGTAAAACAAGCGCTTTTTCTTTGCATTTTGATTCAGTTAGAAAAGAGTATGTTAAAAGTATCTATGGAGGGGAAAAAATACATCATAAAGCAAAGACAGAACTCTGCACAGTGATCAATCAAATCATCTCTGATGCAAAGGTCCCACATGACGTCCCCTTTGCAACATGACAGCTTGACTGGGACACTGTGCATAGACATCTGGTTTGGCCCACCCAGGCACTGCTGCCTAGCAGGCAACTTCATTGACTGGCTCTGTGCATTTGGCAGCCAAACCAGAGTTATCCAGCACTGAAGATTTGCACATATGCCAGTTCGGTGGCCTAGCTGCTCTGCAAAGCTGGAATGACTGGAACAGAAGATGGCAAAACTCTGCCTCAGACCCTGGGTTCAAACACTTTTTCATAAAACCTTCACAGAATTAAATATGCAGGTTCTAAGCTTGTGCAATGACAACTGTAATAATATGACTGAGTAAGCAAATTAGCCATCAGTTGTAGAAGAAACTAAACCTCATGCACACAACTGTGCAACAGCATTCCTGTCAGGGGTACAGGGAGCATACAGCAACCAGAGCAGCAGAAGTTTTTATCTGAAAGAACTGGAACTTGAGCACTAGACTGCACATTGGATTTGACAGAGGGGTATCAGCTCTAACTGCAGACAATCTCCTGCTGTCTTAGAGAGAAGGTAATGCTATTGGAGAGCAGCCATCCTGGAAAGAGAGGAGACAGAGGATCAAAAGCCAGAACAGAGCTCATGAGTATCTGGCAAGAGTCTCTGCTGGATCTCCCTACT